GGGAGGGGGGGTAGTGGGGGTGGTGGTGGAGGGGAGAGGATTCACCAGAGACAGAGCAGGAACCAGAACAGGCAGAAGGACCGAAATCCACTGCTGAGGGGAGCAGCGGGGAGAGAGGAGAGGTCTGCTGCGCCATGTGGGACCCTTGCTGGCTGACTGGGAATTGAACCCGTGCTGCAGAGGCTGTGGACAGCTTCACAGTGCTGCACTCAACCCGCTGTGCCACCAGGGAGGCCCCTGGTCAGAATTTTATGCTTTAGTTTCATGCTGCATGCTGGGGAACCAGAGTTGTGCTGAAAGACCAGGGGCTTGCTTCATCTTTTTTTGATGGGCAGTGATTTGTGTATAAATCTTTTACTTCCATGCGTGAGACACCACCCACGTTTGTTACCCTTAGGCCTTTGCTTTGCCTGTAGAGTTAATTGCCTGGATATGAAAAAAAAATTGATTTGAAGATTTTGCTTTCACTGCGAAGTTGGGAGGGAGGTGGTCTTATCTTCATGCTGCACACAAGGACCTGGCTCCCTGGCCTAGAGAGCTCATGCTGCCAAGTCTGGCACCTGAAACATCCGATTCCTTTGTGCCGTGTGTGTGTGTGTGTGTGTGTGTGTGTGTGTGTGTGTGTGTGTGATGTTATATATGCTGAAAAGTTTAAAGAAAAGTTGTAAAATGATAGGCCTCCCTGGTGACCTAGGGGTTAAGTCTCAGCTCCATCATCACTATGGCCTTAGTTTGATCCCCTGCCAGGGAGCTGACCCAGATGGCGAGCAGACCTCGCCTGTCTCCCTGCTGCTCCCCTCAGCAGTGTATTTCAGTTAGTCTGCCTGTTCTGCTCCCCACTCTGTCTCTGGTGAATCCTCTCACCCCCTCCACCTCTGGCTTATATCCCATTTCCTTTTTTTAAAAAAAGATTTATTTATTTATTTATACAAGAACCGGGGTACAGTCAGAAGCGGGGGAGGGTGAGAGAATTCACCAGAGCCAGAGTGGGGAGCAGAACAGGCAGACTGAGGAAATACACTGCTGAGGGGAGCATCGGGCGGCAGGAGAGGTCTGCACGCCATGAGGTCCCTGCCAGCGGCGGGGGATCGAACTGGCGCCTGCAGAGGCTGCAGGCAGCTTCGCAGCCCAGAGCTCAACCGCTGCACCACAGGGAGGCCCCTACCCCCCATTTCTACGCAAAAAAAGAAAAAGTTTTAAAATGAGCACCTGCCACCCAGCCTAGGACTTATCATAACCCCCCCAGGTGATCCTTCGCCCTTGGGGTAACCTTCGTCCTGTATTTGTCTCCTGGGGCCTCAGAACAAAACACCACACACAGAATGGCTACAGAAATGCATTTGTTTTGGAGGCTGGAACACCAAGGTGGAGGCCCTGGCAGCAGTCCTTTGGGGGTTCCTCCACTCTCTTCCAGTGTTGGTGACCCCAGGGGTCCTCGCGTTATAGATACATCACTCCGGTCCCTGCCTCTGTCTCCTCGCCGGTGCCTGTGCGCCCTTCTCATGGCCTTCTGGCATTCGGCCCAGACCCTGACCTTGATTGCTTCTGCAAAGACCCTTGTTCCAGAAAGGTCCAGCCACAGGTTCCGGGTGGACATACCTCTTGGGGTCCACTGCACTCAACACAGTGTTCGCCCCTGTTGGGCATGTCCCCTGTCCCTGTTACCCCAAGTCCGAAGAAAGTTGCAAAGCATGAGCCCAAGTGCCCTGGGGGAGATGGCGGAGGGTGAGGGGAGCCGGTTAGTGGACGTGGGTGGAGAGAGGGGGTGCAAAGAAATCTGTGCCCCAAATTCCTGTGTCATCAGGGGACACCCGCAAATCACAGTGCAGAAAAAGATTGGAAGATGCCCAGGAAAGGAAGAAAGTACCAGAGGTTTAAAGTAATTGATTGAGGTGAAGTTCACATATCGCAAAGTAGCGTTGTCAAGTGTACCCTTCAGGGACGTCTGGTGCCTTCACACGGTCGTGCAGATGTCACTTCTGCCATCTCTGAACGTTTTCCTCACCCCAAAAGGAGACTGGTACCCAGGAGCCTTCACCTCCATGTCCCCTCCTCGCCAGCGCTGCCCACCACTCCCTGCATGCCCACTTACATGTTTTCTGAAGTCTGCTATCAGGAAAAAAAAGAACTTTGGGAGGAACCAACCTTGTTGGTCATTTAGGGCCTGAGTGGTGGTTTTTTTGGTAATGACAGCTTTACGGAGCTGTGATTCACAGCTCACCCGTGCACGGTGGACACGTCTGTTTACAGACTGTGCAGCTATCACCGCGGCCGAGTTTAGACCGTTTCAGTCACTCGCATCTAAACCCACACCCACTCCCACACCCATCCTGACAGTTGTAGGATCTGAATTGTAGCATCTGACGTGGTCTGTGAGGGTTGCTGGTGGGAGGGATTTAACCGGCCTGACTTCCCAGCTTCTCACTCTGTCTGTAATTACAGATGAAATTGACCCATTAGCTGGCTCCGCCTGCCTGCAGGCTTCCTCCCTGTCTTCTGAGCTTTATCTCATTTTGGTCTCAGCACCGACTATCCCATGCCTTGCCTGCCATTTTGTCCCCATATCAGAGATAGGGAAACTGATACTCAGAGAACTAAGAGGCCCGAGGGCCAGCTAGGGCTTGAACCAGTGGAGTCTTATCTCCGGCAGGACCTCAGGGACCGCTGAGCTTAGGGCCATGGAGGCTGACTTCCCTGGAGCTCCGGACTGATTTCTGTGTCCCTTATCGCTTTTCCGATCTGCTCAGCAAACCCTTCCACTGGGGGCTTCTAAGACCTGACCTTGAGCTGAGGTCAGGGACACAGGTGGGTGGGGGTGGGAGACAGGCCTTGGGCGCTCTCATTCTTCAGCAGACTCTGCCAGGTGGGCATCCCAGAGAAACTGACCAGAGACCACTCCTTCAAGGAGCCCTGGTAAGAAGGGGAGGCAGCACTTCCCAGAACCTGGCCAGAATTTCCAACAAAGCTCGGGGATGCCCCCTGGTGGAGCTGCCAAGACAAAGCGTTGTGTGCAGCCTCCGGGCAGGTGGGGTCATGAGCCAGCCAGGGAAGGGCCATTTCTCGGCTTTTGTGTGTGATCAAGAGTCAGCGTTGGAAGGCAGGGGCAGGGAGCGGCATCAGAGCCTGAGTTAGATTGAGTTTGCTTCAGATCCCAGCTCCGCCGCTCACTGGGCATCTTGGGGCAGGTTAGTCGTCCAGACCTCAGTTTCTCCTCCATCAAATGGGCACCACTGGCGTCCTACCCCACAGAGAGCTGAGACAACCCTGGCCGCCTGCCCGCTGGAGCCCAGCTAAAGTGCTCGGTTATGGTTAACTGTTGATACTGGCGGGAAGGGAATGTTCTGGAGGCCTGAGTGTCTGGGCCTTGCTTTCCCCACGCGGAAGGCAGCTGTGACCGGCTTGTGGGATTTTCGCGCTCATTAGCTACTGAGCCAGAAAGATAGCGACTCCCACATTCAACACGTGTAAGGGATTAGTTTTATTATTCCGTTCCGAACATGAGAAGAGCAGTGTGTGTTTATTAAGCAAATATTGACTTGGGTCTTCTACCGGACAGTCCCTGTGTGCAGAGCTGGGTTTGCAGCTGCGAATGGGATGGGGTGTGACCACGGTGTGTACGTCCTGTGAGTTTTAGTCGAGTTCAAGGGTCGGCAAACTTTCTCTGTAAAGAGCCAGCAGGTGAAGAGTTCATACTTGTGGACCGTCAGTCTCTGTTGTAAATACTTGGCCTGTGGGGGGTGGAAACTGCCGTCAGTCACCACTGAGACTGTGAGTGTGGCTGCTTGTCAGTAAAACTTTGTGTATGTGCAGATGTGAATTTCATGTTATTGTCACATGACAATATTCTCTTCTTTCGACCATCCCCTCCCCGTTTAAAACATAAAAAAATTCTTAGCTTATGGATGATAAAAAAGCAGGTGGTAGGGTGGACTTGGGGTCTTTCATTGACCCCTACTTAGTTCAGTCTTGGGGGGAAGTTGTGCAGGATGTGATGGTCACCTGCTTCTGGTTCTTTTTTTGACACTTTTCTAAGTCTCCGTGGATCGTATTTGTCACTAAGCTACTGGGGAGGGGGGTCTTTCCCTGTCAGATGGTGGCTTCCCATTCCTGATGCTCATTTTCAGCCCCTCCAGAGTGGGCCTAGCTTTCGTCATACGTCAGGAATTAGGCCGGGGGCTCTGTGTCAGTTTTCTCTCCTTTCAAACCCTCCCACTTGGCTTCGGTTGTTCCTTGCACCTTGGCAGAAGTTCTGGAGTCATTATCATGCCCATTTTACAGATAGGGAGGCCGGGTCATGCAAATCTCTTGCTGAGTCATGCAAATCTCTTGCCCTCCTGGGGGTTAAAGTTATAGGGAAGAGAGAAGGCAAAGCAGACAGGAAGTGAGAGGTAGAAGCTGTGTTGGTACCTGAGAATGGGGGTGGGGTGGGGATACTCATTCATTTAGGTCCCAGACAGAGTACTGAGTGCTCCTGTAATCACCGAGTGATTTAATCCTCACAACTGGCCTATCGGAAGAGATGAAGACACAGATTCAGAGATGGCAAATAACTGCTTGACCTTGCAGACTGGGGCAGGGCAGGCTGCTGTATAACTGATCACACGGAGACATCAGTACTTCCCCCTGCCGAGAATTCTCTCGAAGGCCGTGAGGGCCTTGCTGAGGGGTTCTTTGTGGGCAGTGGGGAGCCACTGAAAGTTCTGAGCAGAGCGTCCATGCTCAGGTCTCCGAAAAGTTTCACTCTGGCAGCAGAGTGGAGGATGGGGAGTTAGTCTGGAGACCCCTGGGAAGTTCTTGAGGTCATCTTGGAGCGCCATCCCAGTGGACTGGACTGGACTAGAGGGGGGACCGTGAGGGTGGAAGGAGAGATGGCCAGGAGAGGAGGTGGCGCACTCAGGGCATAGGGCCGAGGCCTCTGCAGGCCCTGAAGGGGAGCAGAGTTTGCCAGGCAGGCTGGACGCCGAGCAGGCAGGCCCACCGCCCGTGGCTTCTGTCCGCAGGGAGCCGGCGGCTGGTGGACGTGATGGACGTGAACACGCAGAAGGGCACGGAGATGAGCATGTCTCAGTTTGTGCGCTACTACGAGACGCCCGAGGCCCAGCGGGACAAGCTGTACAACGTCATCAGCCTGGAGTTCAGCCACACCAAGCTCGAGCACTTGGTCAAGCGCCCGACTGTGGTAGGTCCCTGCCCCGTGCCCTGTTCCGTCCCTACCCACCTCCTCTCCTTGCCCTGTCTGCCCCCTGCCCCAACTGCCCCAGGGGGGATTGGGTAGCAGGAGGGAGGGATGAGTTGGGGGGAGCCGGCTGCGAGGCTCCGGCGGCCAGAAGCGCTGACGAGGGCCGGCTTTCAGGTAGACCTGGTGGACTGGGTGGACAACATGTGGCCCCAGCACTTGAAGGAGAAGCAGACGGAAGCCACAAATGCCATCGCAGAGATGAAGTACCCCAAAGTGAAGAAGTAAGGCTGCCTGGCTGGCAAGGGAGAGCTGGGAGGGGGGACTCCCAGCCTGAAAGTTTCTGGAAACAGGGTGTCCCTGGCAAGTCGAGAAGACTTAAGCACAGCTTTGGGACCGGTCCCCTTTGATGCTGGAGGGAGACCGGGCTGAGGCCACAGACCTGCGGGGTGTTGCTGGAGCAGGAGGGATGGGTGAGCAGGTGGGGGTCTTACTTTTCTGGGGTGCACGGACCCTCCAGTCTGCTCTGGTCCTGGACGCTCCATCAGGATGGTCTTCCCTGCCAGCTCTCCCCGGAGTGTGATCTGAGGAGGCGAAAGAGTCATGGGGCCATCTCTGTGCATCTGTGTGTGTGTGTTGTTGACATTTGTCTGCTCCCTTGAGCAACACATGTCCTGGGAGTGAGCGTTTTTATTTTCAGGGGGATGCACCCGCCAAGGACACTGCTTTTGCCTAGGGCCTGGGCGGGGTCTGGTGTTCTTTCGTTTCTTGCTCTTGACACCTGGGGTCCCTGATCAGAAGAACCATCCCTGAACAAAGCCCAGGGGCCGCCCACTCACCTGGCCCCACTTACCTGGGGTTCCTTAGGCCGCACCCACCAGGCATGGGGACTGGTGCTGGGCTGGGAGCCTGACCTGACGGCAGTCGTTACCTCCAAGCTGCATGTCCAGCCAGTCCTGAGGCCAGGGCAGTGGCACCTGGGGGGCCCCTCCTGGATCTAGAACTTGCATAAAGGACCCTTGGGAGCAGGAAGTCACCTTGGGGCCCCACCATCTGTGTTTCCATCTCCAGATTGGGGACCAGGCGCTGACTGTCCCGGGCTCCACCATGGCCCTGGGCTTCCTAGAAGAGCTGGCTCTGGCGGCTGCGAATCCATTAGCATCTCTGCTCAGCCGGCTGCCAGGAGTGCCCCCAGGAGCTTAAGGCTGTGAACTTTCATTCACTCAGCCCTTCATTCAGCGCATATTGAATGTGGACTCCGGGCCAGGCTTTGTGAGGGAGGCCAGCGCGCTGCCCCTGGGCTGCTCAAGACTGTGCTTTCAGACTCGCTCGCTCGCTCTTTATTACGGCTCAGGCGCTTGTCTGCCTGTCCGAGTCGAAGCTCTGTGCGTCCCCTGGATCTGGGCTGCGGCAAAGGCACTGGACTCAGGGTGGGGAGAGAAGGCGGTTTCGGTTTCCTTCTGTTCTGATTTCATCGCAGGGAAATTTATAGAGCCCATGGGACGGGGAGTAAAAAAGGATGAACAGGATTGACATCCCTGCCTCGGGAGATGGCGCGTTACAGCTGGAACAGCAGGTCCGGAGGGGACAGGAATCCTTTTTGGCTGGTGGCCTGGGGGAGTCCTCACAGAGAGGACATTGGACCTGGGCTTGAAAGGACAGAGGCAATGGGAGGGAAGTGGGGGGGGGTGTGTGTGTGCAAAGGGCCTGAGGAACTGTAAGGAAACAGTGTAGGACTCAGATTAGTCGGAGGCAGATCTAGATTCCTTCGTTCATCGTTCATTCAGCATCTGTATCGCATATCCGATTCCTGCCTGGAATACAGCGGGAGCAAGCCAGATGAGCTCAGCTCCTGCCCTCGCGGAGTTTACCGCCCATGGGGCAGACAAACACGAATCCAATAATCAGAGACGCGCATGGACACTTGAGACCATGATATAAGGCAGAGACCCGGTGCCATGGAGGAGGAGAGTGTGCCGGGACCCCCCTGGGGTGGTGGGGAGGTGGGCAGGCAGGCCTAAAATGAAGAGCTTTTCTGGGCCTGTGCAGGGCCTGAAACGGCTGGCAGGGGCGAGTGGAGGTGGGGAGTGGAGTGTGGGGAAAGGGGGGTACCTATGGAAGGAGGTCCCTTGGGGCTGGAGCAGAGTGGGGGGGTGCGCAGGGGTGCAAAGTCGGGGCTGGCCCAGGTTAATAGGGTCTGGCACCGCATGGCCCATCGTGAGGCCTCTCAGCCCTTAGAGCAATGGGAAACCTCTCAGCAACTTTTAGCAGAGAGGGCTCTGTTCAGGGTTTTTTTTTTTTTTTTTAAATAGAGGCATGTTTTATTTATTTGTTTGTTTGTTTGTTTGTGTTGTTTATACATGCACTGGGTACAGTCAGAAGCGCGGGAGGGTGAGAGAATTCACCAGAGCCAGAGCGGGGAGCAGAGCAGGCAGAAGGACTGAAGTACACTGCTGAGGGGAGCAGCGGGCGGCAGGAGAGGTCTGCGCGCCATGTGGGACCCTCCTCTGGTGGCCAGGGAGCAGCCGGGGATCGAACCGGCGCCCCAGAGGCCGTGGGCAGCTTCGCAACCCAGTGCTCAACCGCTGCACCACCGGGGAGGCCCGCTCTGTTCAGTTTTGCATTCCACAAATTCTTCTGTGGAGTGGATGGAGGAGCCAGTCCAGGGGGAGGGCACATGGGTGAGCATGAAGGAAGGTCAAGTGGCCAGAGTGGGTCTCCGTAGAGTCCAGTTCCTTTACGTCCATTTGCCTCCCTGGAAAAGTCGGTATTTTCACTTGTTGAAAGAGCCCTTTAAATAGTAAGCTTTATTCCTACATGGAGAACTCTTATCAAGTTCCCAAAAAAGACTCACACACTTTTCTAGGATCACATGCCTTCCACATACTGGCTGGGCTGTGTGGCAGACAGATTTACCAACCCTGCCAGTGGCTGTGGGAAGTTGTTAATGGGACTTGAACCCTTGTTACGGAGGAAGTTGTCAGCTTGGAAATAGTTCATTTGCTCAGCTGAAGAGAATGTTGATTTCTGTAAATAAGCCAGGTGAAAATCCCATGGTGATGAAGTCCTCTGGGGCCATAGAACGGTGCGGTGGAATTTAATTAAAATGACACTGTCTAGGAAGTGCACAGCTTCCATCCTGCAGGAGGCTGGAGAGTGAAGGTGGGACAGAGTGGAAAGAAGAAATGTTCAGACCCTTTACTGCCTCCTCCCTGGCTCTGGATTTACACTGGTGCATGGTGACAAGAAAACAAGGAATTTTAATGGGTTTGGGTTGAGGTGCTTAAGATAAGGGGTAGCGACAGTTGTGGAGTTGTCTCTTGTCTTACAACTTAATGGGGGACAGATCCATAGAGGGTGTCAGTGTGTCTGTTATCTAGGCTCCCTTAGTGAGTGCTGATTATGTGTAAGACCTGCTTCTGAGTAGTGTACGGTAGGCCATGGTGAAGAAAGTGAAGTCCCTGTTCTCGTGGCGCTTATATTCTGGTGGGGAGAAGAGACAGGTAAGCAGACAAGTGGATAATGCAACTTAGGAGATGATGTCTCGTGAAGCAGCAATAAGGCAGGATAGCTTGGGGGCTGAGTGACTCAGCCGTGCTGTGCGCTGTGCCCCTTACCTGTCACTCCATCTCAACTCTGTCAAATGTTTTGGCAGAATTACTTGTTTTGGAAAATCTCTTAAAATGACAATTATTGGAGAATATCTCTGTTAGTATTTTTTGCTGCATAACAGGTTACCCTAAACTGTGATAGCTTATATTGTAAAAAAACACGCCAGCAGCTTTCAGCAATAAACATTATCTCGTGGTTTCTGCCGGTCAGTAGCTGGGGTGGTTCTGGCTCTCACTGGATGTGGCCTTGGGCTGCTGTTCATCTGAAGGCTTGACTGGGGCTGGAGGACCCACCTTCCACATGAGCTTACCTCACTAGGTAGGAGGCCTGAGCTCCTCGCCATGTAGCCCATCCACAAGCTGCTTGAGTGTCCTCAGAACGTGGTGGCTGGTCCCCCAGACCAAGTGTTTGGAGGGAGGTCAGTGGAAGCCAACAGTGCCTTTTACAACCTGATAATAGAAGGCACATAACTGTCTACTTTTGCCATATTCTGTTAGTGAAAAGGGAGTTACTAAGTAATGGCCACATTCAAGGGGAGGCAAATTGAACTTTGCCTCAGGATGGGGAGAGTATTAAAGTGTCCACAAGTGCCTAGGTCTATGATGTGGGCATACCTTTTTAAACTTACGACCATTGGATATTATAGTGCATTCTAGAAAGAAATTAGCAAGGCTTTCCTCTCCTGCTCCTGTAGCAGACGGGGTGGCAGAAATGATCTTTGCAGCTTAATGGGGGGGCCATGCCGTGTATGATGACAAGCAGTGAATACTCAAAAACTCAACAAACAGGGAGCCCACGTAAAGCATGTGGTTGGCCCACCCATAATTGAGAGTTGACTGCCGTTTTCTCCCCACAAACTTTCTGGGGATGGCAAGAAAATCTGGGTGAAATTTGGGAGAGGGTGAAAATGACATGGGGAGGGTATGCTTCTTGGGCTGCTGTGGCCATGGCAAATCTTTCATCTCCTGTTTAAAGACTCAGCTTTCCTTTCTGCACCGTAGGGGTTGCATCATCCCCCTCCGCCCTCCCCCCTCCTGCCTCCCATGATGTGGGGAACTGGAGCCTCCCATTTACATGCAAAGTGGTTGGGATGAGTTGTTATCAAAGAGACCTTGGTCTCCAGCTGCCATTGGCGTTCTGGTGTCCTCTGCTTTGCAATCTCCCTTCCCTCATGTTTGCATGAGGGTTTTTGTCTCTAGAACAGCATTCATGCTTTTTTTTATAAAAAGAATTATTTAATTTATTTATGCATAGATGAACTGGGGTGTAGGCCAGAGGTGTGGGGGTGAGAAGATTCACTAGAGACACAGTGGGGAGCAGAACAGGTGGATCTACTGAAATCCACTGCCGAGGGGAACAGCCGGAGAGACAGGAGAGGTCTCCCACGCCATGTGGATCACCTCCCTGGCCGGGGCCGGATCGAACTCCTGCCACAGTGGCTCGTGATAGCTTGATAGTACTGAGACTTTAACCCTGCACCACCAGGGAGGCCCACAGCATTCACTCTTTAACTCTCATGAGCTGTGCTTGCTGACGTCGTAAGTGATCAGTGCCACAGGCCGCATCACACAGGAAAGGACCTAGAGTGATTGCTGATGTCACACAGGGAGGATGCTGTGGGCCTTGCACCAGAACCCGGGCCTCTGGGTTTCTGACTTCTCTCTACCTTTAT